TGTTTGACTCTGCATGCAACATCATCCTCGTTCCACTCTCTGTGCAACGCAGAACTACTTCGTTTTCATCAATTCTACGACTGCTTCGTGTCACACAAGAAGAAACGCCAGAGTCTGTCTTTGTCAGGCGTTTGATCTCAAGGCTTTATCGCTTGAAGCAAAGCCATCATAGATATCACCATCTGGTAACACCTCTCATCCATACCCTTCTTATATAATTGTTTCAAAAAGCTCAATCATTTCATGTACACAAATTATCTATCTGTTATGAACCAAAAGTGCGTGTGATTTCATGTTGGAAAATGGAAACCATCAAAGCAGGGAGCAAAATGTGTGTGATTTCTAAATGGAAACCATCTAGAAACAAATCCATGGGGAGCAAAATGCAAAATTATATAATAGTAGGGGCCAAAAATTAGTTTTGACATTTTTTTACAAATAAAAATAAAGTAATATTCTTAAAAAATTTGTAACAGCTCCCCCCCCCCCCCCCGGGTATCCATTCTCAATGAAAACCATGGTTTTGTTGGAAACAGATAGTTACTGGCAGAGATGAATCGGGGCAAGCAACACTTAAATTCCTTTGGTAAAAATTAAAAGTTTTTCTCATAAAAATTTTTAAAATAGATTTTGTCCTTATATTTTCAATTGAGCCCCCATTCATTTGTTTTTAAATCCGTCCTTGGTCACCGGTTTTTTTGGAAGTAGGTAATTATCTGACACACTTTATCCTATCAAATTAAGACAAGTGATTTGAATAATTCTCATTGTGAAACCACACACACTTTATCCCCTAACTTAGAAGCACTATTTCTTCTTTCTACTTCAACCAAATCTTTGGTTTTGGCAGTTTTTTATTGTGAAACCAAACGTCTTTTAAATCTCGTGACTTCGAGGCATTGTTTCTTTTCCTTGGTGTGGAGTATTGATGCTATTGTATTGCAATCTACAGGAGACATTCTTGGGGGAAATTCTAGGAGCAGTGGTGTTGATAGACAGCAACTCAAGTAGTCTCAATCCTAAATTTGAGGAGAAGCACATTAAAATCATAGCCAAAGGCATAGAATCAAGTGATGGGGAGATAGTGGTTGATGAAAAACATGGGAAATTAGTGAAAATATTACAACATGTTGATTCCAAAACTTTGAATCATTTATACACACATAGACTTAGTGATAAGAACCAGTATTCAGCCAAAGTTGGTAGCTTTGCAGAACAAAGTAAAAGATGGAGTCATCCTATTTCTGGTACAATCAGTGGAACCAAACAAAGAAACACAATCTTCTTCATTGTTTTAATTTGTGTTGTCTTCTTCCATTGGAAATTAAGGTTTATATAATTGGTGATATACCACAAGATAGATTCAAAGGCTATAGTCACTTTTCTTCGCACAAGATTACTAGAAACAAAATTCTTGTAATGGATTGAACCAATTTGGGGCCTTTTTTTCTTTTTTTTTTTTTTAAGAACAATGTTCACTGCCTTGCATGATTTATGAGAGGTACTACTTATTTATAATTGATACTTGATATAGAATTTTTGGACATTCTTGCTTCAAAAATTAATTTTTAAAATGATATAGCTGAATTCTCATAATTTTTATGCCAAATTTTATGCTTTTTAACATGTGGGTTAAGTTTTGTTGTTTTTTTTTTAATTGCTCAAAAGTATCCTCTTATTGGAGAGGGTCTAGTTCAAGGTAAGGTCAAATATTAAATATGGGCGCTTTTCTCAATGAGAATTCAAACCTTGGTTCATCACATTGTGAGAAATTTGCCTATTCCACGGAACACAACCTCCTTTAATTGGGGTAATTAAAGTTTTGTATATTTGGATCATAAACTATTGGGTAAGCCTTATATACTTAATATACTTTTATCCAATCAAATTAAGATAAGTAAATTTTAATGTATTAATAATATTAATAATAAGAATTTGTTGTAGAATAAATAATTATAGAAGATTCACATGTCCTGATTTAATTAAAAAAATACATTAAATATATAAGGTTTAATATATTAGTTTTTCCTAAACTTTTTTCTGTTTACCAAATAAAATATTTTTTATGTAATATCAAAGACCAAAAAAATATATTAATTCTTGATTCAATCCAGTTAATTTAGAGTGATATAATGATATTTGAGTAGCTGATGAAAAGTTTTCAATTATTTACTTTTCCATACCCTCCAAATAAAATCTTGAACATAAGCTAATAAAATATTGAAGGGGGAAAATCTATTTTGACCCCTAACATATTGATAAACAATCAGTAGGTAACCTGTGATTTATTATAATTTTTTCAATTTAGTCCCTAATTGTTAATTATTTACAATATTGTTGTTTTACATTATCATCAATATCAACACAAAGTATAAAATGTGTTTGAATTTTAAGTAAAAAAAATCAAGACAAACATGATATTACACGTAATTTAATACTTGAAGGAACGGAATTTAAAAAAAAAATTGACTAAAAACAAAATCAAAAGCCAGCTTGGGATTCCCCTTTATTATTGATTCCATGTTCTCAGTTCAATGTGACACACTGTCTCTATGCATGTAGGGGTTGGCATGTCCTTTTTTTTTGTCGTTGATTTAAAAAAACAATGATTTTTTTCAATTTATTTTTTGTTAAAAAATCATTAGTATTATCCAAATTAAATTTTGTATAATGTAAAATATATCTGTTTTTTTTTTGGAAAAATTAAAGAGTCACATATATCGTATAAATTTGGCAAAAAAAAACATGCATAAAATTTGACAAATATAATCGAGTAAACCATAAATCACAGCACACATGAACATAAAGACAAACAAAAGAATATCATTTCTTATAATTTTATTGAACTAATTTTCTTCAGGATTTGCTCCATTAAGTATCAGACAAAAATCGAATCTCTGCAGATCTTTTTTGTTTTTAATTAATGCCATTTCCTGTTCAGAGCTTGTTATTAGATCCAAATCTACTCACCAAATTCATCGTTGTCTCAGTGTCTTGTGTCTTTTTCTAGAAAGTCAACTTTGAATTCCTTTTTTTTTGGGGGGTGGGGCCTCTAAATTTTAATTGCAAAAATAAAGTGACTTAAATATTAAAAAAAGTGATAATAAAATTATTTTAAATTAGGTAAATAATAATTTGATCTCAAAATGTCATGATATTAATGAAATCTTTAAAGACATCTTTATCAATAATTTTTTTAATAAAAAGATCATTTTATCCTTACTGAAAATAACAAGACCTAATCACAACTTTTATTTAAGGAATCACAACTTTTCTTTTGTAAATTACAAGAAATAATAACTTATTAATTATAATTTTTGTTATTAAAAAACAAATCTCAATCACAATTTTGCTTAAAGAACAATAATTTTTGTCCTGTAAATTGTAAGAATTAAACAAGAAATCACAATTTATCAAGTGTAATTTCTATTATTAAAAAATAAATTCTCAAAATAACAAACTCTATTCATAATTTTTGTTTAAAGAATCACAATTTTTTTTCAAAGGATTGTAATAATTGAACAAGAAATCATAATTTATCAATAAAGGTAAAATAATCTTTTCATTAAAAAAAAGTTGTTGACAAAAAAATCTCTAAAGATTTTATTGATATTATGATATTTTAAAAGATTAAATTATCATTCATATAATTTGAAGAGATTTTATTATTAATTTTTTTAAATATTCTCGTTTTTTTCGTGCTGCCTAAATTTGACAGTGACTTAGTTTATAAAAAAACATCAATTAGATGAAATTAAATTAATCATAAATAAGTATTATAAATATGTAAATAAATATTGGATTGGAATTTCACCTGATAATCTAATTGATACATTTTATTTATCATGGCTTCAACTTATATATATATATATATATATAGAGAGAGAGAGAGAGAGAGAGAGAGAGAGACTTGCACACACAAATATATCAATTTATAATCAAGAGCTAAAACCACTTATCTTATAGATTATTGTTATTAAGTGACAACATAGTTAGCATTGGCAAATAAATTTGACTTCTGTGTTCCTCCTTTTTTTTTTTTTTAATCTTCATTTAAAATAAACAACTCAAATATTTTAGCTTTATCTTGTTTACATAGAATAGAAAATGAAAAAAAAAATTAACTACTAGTTTCAGAAAAATCAAAGGATCATTTAAAAAAAATCTGAATCATTTCAATTTGTTGGTAAAAAACAAATCATTTCAATTAGAACTAAACACTCTAAAGACCAAGGATCAATAAAGGAGTGTAAAAGAAACATGGAAGCAAACATCAGCAGCTCATCGCCTCTGCACTTGTGGGATCTAATTTTTATAGTTCAAATTTATATTTTTTTTAACTAGTGTTTTTTAAATAAGAAGTTTTTTTTTTAAAAAAAAAGAGCTAACAATTAAGATATTGTCTTTATTTTAAATTATGTATCCATTAAAATAATTTTTTAAAAAAATAAAAGTTAAAAGCTATAAATCTGTATTATCCAAATTAGATTTAAATGATCTAAAAGCTATAAATTTTCAGTGCTCATCTATATGATGAATGCTAACTAGTTCCAGCAGATGCCATTGTCACAGCTAGGTATTTTATTTTTGCCCTAAAAATTTGCTACAAAACATGCATTTTGTATAATGATACCTCATTATATGTGTGCATATATTTTGCCTAGAATTTAAGTTTCAATTATGGAAAGATCACATTAGGAGAAATTCTCCTTAATCAGAATCCAACTCAACTCAAATTTTTGGGCAAAAAAAAAAACTAAACTCAAATTTAAATTAGCAATGAGGCTAGATATTAGATCAAGAAACTTCTCCTTGTGAATTGGAAAGAGGTTTGTCAACCAAAACCCTGTAGCGGCCTCACATTTTCCATGAACCTAGTAATGGATTAGTTAGTTTAATTTTTTTTTCTTTTTAAGCATGACTATTTCATTGAGTCAAATTTAAACATTATTAAACTCAATTAGGAGTAGCCCTAAAGAATTGTTTTATGCATTTAAACGGACTTGAACTTGAGACTTCATACTTAAATGATCTTACTACATAACGCCTTTGGGTTTTTCCCATTTGATACCAAAAAAAAAAAAAAAAATTATCATTTGTGAGATCAACCTCCTTGAATGCACGCAACAAGAAGAGTTCACAAATCAAACCTACATTCATCATACATTGGATGGAAATATCTCCATCACATTCATAACAATCACAAAATCAACAACAACAAAAGCCTGAGATACATATTCTACCAAAGGAGAAAAATGATCACAAGACACTCTTACAACAAGCTTCTCCTCCAATCCATCTCTTAGAAACCCAGTTCCACCATAGGGATTGCCCCACCAGCTCCAACAATCTGATGCTCAAGCTGCACCCAAAAATATATAAATATATACCTGTTATTACCTGCAAAATCCAGAACATTCCAGAATGTTTCTTTCTGCTTGAAATTTCTCTCATGTTATATAATTCATTTACCCTGAACAGAGTTTCCAGCTTGTTCTTGACAAGGAAGTACTCTTGCTTTACTTGCTGCAGACATCTGCTGCACCTGCAATTTCACCATTTTTGCCACATCATTATGAAGCTCCCAAAATTCAAATCAATACTATCTATCCTTTCACAAATTACTTACGAGTTTACATTCTGTTCTTCACAGTAGCCGCGGAAAGCAATGCAGGCGTTTTTAACCCTTTGGGCACCTATGCTGTGAGCCAGAAACATAAATTTATCTCTCAGCAGATAAAATATGAAAAGGAATCAGCTTTGTGATTATGTTCATCTCTCTCTTGATGATGACTTGACAACATGGTTAAACACAAAAAATCCTACCTGCAGGCTGAGTTTAAAACCTAAAGTCTTATCCAGCTTGTCCTAGATTAGTTGAAATCTAACATAGATTCTGGCGGGTTTTAAAACAAATCCTAATTATCTTACTTCATCCTTTATGCATTAATTACCTACACATAACTTATATCCATATATCAATCAAAATTTGAATGCTTAAATGAACACAAAAATAAAATTTAAAAGGGTATATAATCAATGGCTAAGGGTTATCTGTATAAACCTAAAAGTTCAAGAACATTTATTATTAATTTTTAAAAGTTAAGGGAGTTATTTGTACATAGTTCAAAGTTTATTCAAAGTTCAGGAAAGTTGTTGTGTAACATGCTTATGTTTCGTAGCCGGTCCAAGCCCCCAATAAAGGAGAAGGGTCGTGTTAGATTACAACAGTGTAAAACTCTGTCAATCAACCACGTGGTATGGTAGTTGACTTGGTACCTTGAGCTGCTACCCTTGAGCTGATGAACATGAGCATCAACTTTTTTGAAGTCAGTAACTTTCTGATCACTGCGGAAGAACAATCCCAAGTAATAGGAGAGAAAAGTGCGTGATTCCAAAAGGTCATTGAGAGAGCAGAAGGAAAAGAAAAAACTTGGAAAACATAAACTCATTCATACTCACAGAGCAATGGTGAGATCTTTGAGAATCCTCTCAGAATCTTCAAAGAAGAGAGAAACCACTTCAGCAACAAAAGATGGGTTACTCTCATCTTGTAGTTGCTGGAGTTGCAAGAACTGACTGTCCAAATATCCCTTTATTTTTCTCACCAAAGACCAACAAATCACACAAATCAACACAAACAACAAAGAAGAGACAAGCCCAGTAAAATTGATAGATCTATCAAAGCAGTGGTTTACTACAGACAGAAGCGATTCACACCCAGAATTGTAAAAACCATGATGTTTGGCCTACCTCAATGAACAAAGATTTGGTGTATTCCACCAACTGTCTCTGCATCTGACCCACATCCATGTTCGGTGTCCCCTTTGTTTCTGATGAGAGACAGAGAGTGAATGTTGGGGGTTCAAGTTGAGATCTTTAGAAGGAATTATTGGTGAGTGGATGAATCAGACGGAATTGGATTTGTGGGTGAAGTAAAATCAAAGGTTTTATGGGGATAGCAGCTGGCAGTCGCAGAGCAGCACCATTAGTGGGGGCAGAGCTTCTCTCTCTCTCTCTCTCTGGATTTGTGCAATGCTTTGGCTTTAGGATTTGGTTGAGGTTTAATCGCCAAGGATTCCATTATTGGATCCTCGTGCTTTAAAGATTTATGAGATTGAGATTGGAAAGTTCACAAGCCGTGGGTGGATACAGTAACACAAAGTAACAATTATAAAACATCAACTTTTCGAGGCTCATGAAAGGATTTGGTCTTTCGAATTTGGATGATGCCCTCTCTTTTTTGTTTTCTTTTTTTTTTTATTTTGCCAACTTGAATGATGCCCTCATAAGGGTAGAGAGAGGATGAAACCAGCACGGCCACGTCCCTCCCTAATTTTTTAATTTTTTTAGTAAAATATAAAAGTTACATATTTTCAACTCTTATAAATTAATAGATTATAAATATAAAACACTAAATAAAATTTTTATTTTAATTTTATATATAATCTTTTATATATGTATAAAATAGCTATTTTAATAGTTTAAAGATATGGTTGTCATAAAATCTATTTATTTTTAACCAGATAATGTTATACATATTCTTAAAATATTAGTATCATTTTATTTTACCCTCATTTTATATTTAATGAAAGAAATTATAATCATTATATTAATAAACTTTATTAAGTATTGAAACAAAAATCTCAATACATATTGAATGACATGTACTTGATATCTATCATAAAATCACTTATCCAAAAGTTAAAAGGTTTGGTGAAGATATTCTTTTAAAAAAAATTAATTTTTTAAATAATCAAACTATTAAAATTTATGATATAAATAGTTTTTTACTTTGATATAATTCAATCTCATCGACATAAAAATTTTTATAACAATTAAGCATTATTAATATGTTAATATATTTATTTACTGTAATTATCAATTGACAGAATTCAATGGTGAATTCAATAAGTAAATAATAGAGTTTATTACATTAAACTATAATTTAGATTTCAATAATATATTTAAATCATTTAATGCTCATAAGAATGATAAAATTTTTACTAATTTAATAATAATTTATGTTGAAAAGGAAATTGTTAAAATATTTATCGTAAACATAATAACTAATAATTTTTATTTCATAAAAATTAATAAGCAAAACTTAATACATATATACACACACACACACACTATTATATATGTGTAAAATTAAATATAAATATGTATGTTAAAATATTTATATTATGTCGGTGATATATATACATATAACTTTCTTTTAATTATTATATATATTTTATCATCTTGACCCTCTTTAGTAAAAATTTCTGACTTCGCCCTTGCCCTCATTGCTCTCAAATTAAACGATCCTAAAATATTTGTATTTTATTTTGAGTATTTTAAAGTATAAGAATTTTTTTAAAAGAAAATTTAACGTCTTAAAATATAAAATATTTTAAAATATCAAAATTTTATTAAATAAGTTTATTTTAATAGTATCCTTTCTTTCTTTACATTTAATTTATGTTCATTTTTTTCAATATATTAAATGAGGGATATTTTTAAAAATTTATATTTATATTTTGAAAACATAATATTGTGAAGTGTATTTAATAAAATTTATTAGTATATAAAATTTTATTCAAAAATATCTTATAATTTGAGATGAAGTATACTCCTATGATTTATTATAATCACTTCCAACATATTTTATCAAAATTAATAAAAAATTTAAAATTAATTAATTTTATCTTAAAATTTATTAAGCTTTTAACTTTATTTCTATTAAATATACATACTTTAACAATATATTTCATCTCTCCAATATTTAATGGAGGGTAAAGCAAAAATTTGGTTTCAAATTTTAATGAGGTGGTTTATAAATAAGATAAAATAAATTCTCTTTATCCTATAAATAAGACTAAATAAAGTACACACGCACGCACGCACGCACGCATACTCTTTTTGCTTTTTTATTATAATTCACCTTCTAAAAAATTCTTTAGTATTTAATGTAAGACACATGAAGGATAATTTATTATCATTTTTCTTTTTTATCCTTATTATAAATTTAATTATGTGGCTCATCACATACTTTATATCTCTCTTTTCATATTTTAAAAAGGGGTAAAGTTGAGGAAAATGATTTTAAGACACATGTAATGAATTAACCATCATTCTTTGTTTTCAATCAAATAGTTAAAAATATATTATAATAGAGAAGGGAGGGAATACACACAATCCTTCCATTTTTTTTATAAGATAAAATAAATAAGAATTAGGTGACTCTATTTGTAAAAAAATTTGCAAATAGGAAGTAATTAATTTTTTTAAAAAAAATCACCTTTAAAACATTAATTATTTTTTACCCTCTCTTTTCCCATGAAAAAGCTTAAATTTTTTTTTTTTCAAGACAATGATTGAAAACATCATGCTGTCTTTTGCAATTCCATCGAAATTTCCGAGGGTTATTCTAATCTACTTCATTCCATCCCATGAAATTTGATATTTGTTTTTCTCTTGCTTTATTCCTCAAGACCTCAATTTCAAAATTATAAGTTAACACTAAAAAAATTGGATTTCATTGTTGGAATTTGAGTCTAATACAAAATGCCAGTCCCTCAGAATAAACTAAAATTGGAATTCTCATTAGAAAATGTGTTCAATACCATACTTTGATTAAGATTGCTTTTAATAGGACTTGTAAGCTAAAAAAAATTGTATTTCCTCTTTTGCATTCTCATTATCTTGTTTACTATATATATTCAACTTGTTAGCTTCGGGATTAATCTTAATTAATCAAACATATATTGTGTATAAGTTGGATTATCTTGCCGCTTAAGTAGCTGGTATTTGAAGAAGTTTAAAGTCAAGTTTTGGAGAAATAAGCAAATACTAAGGGCCTGTTTAATAACATATTTTGAAAATAATTTTTTATTCTCTAAAATAAAAAAATAAAAAAATTATTTGATAACGTATTTTTAAAAAAATTTGAATAATAAAAAATTAAAATATTATTATAAAAAATAGAAAAACATAAACAACTTTTAAGTGTTTTAATATTATTGTTTAAAGAATAAGGGGTAATAAAAATAATTTTTTTATTATTAAAATATATTTTATAAAACACCCGTTCTTAAAATAATAAAACAAAAATAATTTTAAATAAATCCTAATTTACTACATTTTAACATATTTAATTATCAAATAACATACAATACGGCATCGTCTCCAGACAAGATAATCTTAATTAACAAATGAATGTGACCCAAATTCATTGAATCTGTTGAATAAAGTTTTTGAATTGTAATATGATGTGGCACTCTTTTCCAGATGTCCAATTGGGAAACAGAAAGGGAATAAAAAAAACAGAAAAAGGATAAAAAAGTAAATTCGATTTTGTCGTGGGTAGGAGAAGTCATTTCTCCACGTGGGCCATCGAGAATCTTTAGGAGTACGAACAGCATCATTTTTGACAAATACTATTAGGCTGGTTATGTCTCCTGTCAATGATTCTTGAAGTGGAATGAAATAGAAAAAGAAACTAAATAAAAAACTATTTTTTTTTAAACATGAAAGGTCATATTTCTCTAGTTGTATTTATAAAATGAAAAAATTAATTTTATTTATAAGGTAATTATTAATTTTTAATGCTTATTTTATATTTTTATTTTTATTAAATAATTTGAATAAAAATATTAGTAATAAGATTTAGAAACATTTATTATGAGTAAAGGTATAAATTAATTTAAGATAAAATTAATGAGGTTTAAGGTTTTTTTAATTTTAATAAAATATGTTAAAAGTGACTTATAAATAAAACTAGATGAAATATTTATAGAGTCGAAAATAAGGATCGAGCTTGACGAGCTGCCCGTTTAGGCCTATTTTAATAAGGGTTTGGGTTTAAAAATTTAGTATTTTTTGAAATAAGTGGGCTTCAAAGCCCAACCCTTTTAAGTCTTAAAAAAATGGACTCGGGTCGGGCAACCTGTAAAGCCCGTTTTACTTTTTTGTCTTTTGATATTGTAGGTGATGATGAAGAAGAAGCTATAGAGATAGTTGATATTGAACCTCTGCCTCCATCTTCTACGAGTAGACCTACATCTGAAGATTTTAATATTTTATTTGTGGATGATGATGATAGGAATCTTGATTAGTATTGATAATGATGTTTGCTTTCATCTTATTTGAACTTTTAAATTTTTTGTTTATTTTTTAGACTATGTGAGATTTTGGTTGGATGTATGTTGAATTTTAAAATATTTTAAGAAAATTTTAATGTTAAATTATTTTATTTTATTTCTATCAGGGCTTATGGGTCCGGCCCTAAATCTTTTAAATAAGGGTCAAGCTTCAATTTTAAGGTAAAATTAAGATAATCGAATTTTAGGGTCTTGGCCCAAAAGAACCGAACCTATAAGGGCAGGACCTATATAGGCTAGGCCATTCATTTACCAACTCAAATATTTATACCGACAATGGCATAATTAATCAACAAATAGTTGGGTCTTTTAAACATGCTAATGTCATGATGTTAAATCAGTGAATCAATTCCTTGATTGATCGGATTGAAAGTTTTAAATGGAGCCAAGCTGGTTGGTTTTGATGCTTTTCCTTCCACATAAAATGATATCATTTTAAGTTTAAAAAACAAAAAACAAAAAATAGCATTTTGTCTTATTTATGCTTTAATTACTTGTCTTATTATATTATGTGCGGGTTATACATGAATGTTTCATTTATTTATAAATTAATATATATTTTTATTTAAATATTACTATTTTTAAGGTTATATATGAATATTTGTGTATATTTTAACTACATTATATTATTTTAATCATAAATGAGCTCAACAACTAAGTATTGAATCACTATCTTGACTAATTCTGGTCGATTTTTAGTAACTTAATTAAAATAGATAAATAATTGGGTGGGTTTGGGAGATGCCTCACCTTGGTACTTATAAAATAAATATTATAAACTCTCTAAGATAAAAATTATTAACAAAAATTGTTGTTATTAAGTGATAATTATACAAACACAATAAATATTTCAAATCTTAATTATCATTAAAAAAAATCACTTTTCCTTGAAGTTAACCAAGGGGCGCGGACTTCAAACATTAGCGTACATGGCTGTTTTGCGAGATGCAATTATCTAATTGTATTAAATTTGAGAATCATCAGTTAAAAATAGCTCTCTTGAAAATATTTTTTACTTTTGAATAAACTTGAATTTCAGATCATGTGCTTCGGCAATCCTCTTCTGTTAATGTCAACGTCTATCGATGCATATATGGCTGTTTTTGTCTTCCCAGTGATTTGATGGGATTCGTCCTCTACTGTCTCCACAGTACTAAAATACTCATTCATGTTCTTTCCATTGTAAGAGAAAACACATAAAATAAAGTCAAATATTCTTACAGTTTTTTCTTTTTTAAGTTTCATTTAATATGAACATAAGGAGGCTAATTTTGAGTGGACCAAGCCTATAAATAATATTAGACAAACATTTGATTTGATTACTCAATGAATTATGTTGGCCACGGTGATGGCATAACGTTTGTAAAGCGACGGAGACTAGCTCAATAATTTGGAACAATACGTGATTAATATATTCTGAATGAACTGTAAATAAGCCGAAATCATGTGTCTAGCTATAAAAGCAAGCTCAAGTTCTCAACATTGTAATATATGCTCTTTTTTTAAAAAATATATTTTTAATTAAATCTCACTTTTTAATAAAATAATTAATTATTTTCAAATAAATACAATATTTTTATATATATTCTTATTTAATAAGATATTTTATTTTAAAGTAAATATAAAATAATTTATTTATTATGAACACTTTTTAAAAAATACATTAATTATATATTAAAATATTAAAAATGTATTACACTTTGTAAGGGAGAGTATACTTTTGCATTATTTAATTAACAACTATGTGGGGCAAAAATGACATTTGTGTTGGGCTATGAATGTTATAAGATTCAAATAGGCACAGAATACTAAATTGGGCCCAAACCAAAAATTTTATTGAAAAAATTATATTAAAATCTCACATATAAAAATTAATTACTATAAAATTTATTAACAACTAAATTAAAGAGATTAATAAAACAACAACAACAACAACAACAAGCCTTTATCCCACTAAATTAAAGAAATTAACAGTTGTCAATAAATCTTATAATAATTAATTTTTATATGTGAGACATAAATGTAATTTTTCTTATTTTATTTAGAACAACTAAACCCCTCTTAAGAGGGAGAATGACATAAGGATAACTGGGATAGTGTAATGCTAGTAAAATCTCACAAAAAGAGGAAATTTCAGTACAAATTCCAAGAGACTAAAATGAAATTAAAATTTTGAGCACATTGAATAAAGATGAAGACTTTTGGTATCAATTATAAGGCTCATCTAAAAATTTGTCCTGGGGATTATGATCAAGGTATTAAAATCCCATTTATGATTGGTATTCGAGCTCAAGTGACGTGATATAATTCATTTCCAAACGAATTGCATCAATTAATGGTGATATATAGCTTGATCGGATGAGCATGATGACAATTTCCAAAGTGCTACTCAGAAATAACCAGCAAGGACAAACGTTAAATGCCGCACGACCAGCCATTTCAGTTTTCACTACTCATAACACAAGCCGTAAGTAGCCATTAACAAGGACATTCTGAAAGCCCAACTAAAACCATTATAACTGATGAATATAAGTACAATCCAAAGAGAATGATAATATCAATGAAGAAACAGACAAGAGGCTATAGCATATAATTATGATCTCATCAGCTGCAATTCTAACATGCCTTACAACTCTTCCTACAGTAGCCAGGAAGATCTGGGGAGCCAACCATATACTCAGCATTATTAGTACATTCTCCAAGGGCAGCCCATCTCTCACAGTTCGTGTGCTGATCTGTGCACTCTCCGCCAGCTCCCACAATCTTATCGAATGAGTCCACATGAATCCACTTTGTTGCTGACCATTTTTCACCTTCAATTACTGGGCATCCTGCATGGAGACTCCTGGTGTCTGGGGTAGCATTTGGGTGCAGACTAAAGAATAGAAGAGCATCTCCTTTACGTGGTTTCACTGTGCATTGCCAGGGTGAGGAAGGAAAGAGGAGTGATTATTTAACATTGATCTGACACGTACCAAATGACACAGCACAATAGAGAAGATAATTCATGAAAGAAAAGACTCATTAAAATGAACACCTGCTATTCCTTTCTTAGCACACTCAGAGAGATCCTCTCTACTTTCAGAACTTCTGTGACGCGGAGGGTCCTGGGAGCAGAATGAAAATCTGTTAGCTACCAAAATTATAGACAAATAATAAATGGTAGAAATAATTCCTCAACAAAACAAAGCGACAGATGGTCCAGACCATTCTACTATGAACCTGAATTCCCCCCCCCAACTTCCCAAAAAAGAAAAAAAAAATCCCTTCTTTTATTGTTTGGTTTTTGGCAAGAAAGAATTAAGAGACAAAAGGCATATTTAAAATTCATTCTCCGGGAAAGGCTGCGCCTCTCCGCCCCCTCAAGCACAAGCCAATAAAAGCGCTGCATCATTTATATCTTCCTTCATGACATATACTGCCTGTCCGAGAAATGGAGAGAACAACTCCAAGTAAAACAGAATTTGCAGCTCCTCAAAAGTTTCTGCTGAGCTCTGCCTCAGCTTTTGACTTTTAATGGCATATGATAATTTATCAGCAGCCAAGCAAAACAATAAAGAAATTGGTACAAATTTTTTGACTCAGACTCAACGAGTCGATGGCAGCTTGAGTCCTCAGCAAAGGTGAGGGACACAGGTTTATTCCCTTCCACACCCAGCCTGCAAGCAATGTCTTAACTCCATTTGATAACAAAAAATAATAATAATAATAATAACGCTAATTAGGACCCCAGTCACCCTGTTGAAGATCCGATTACTTAAAAGGCAAATATATGAGTATGCCCATGGAGTGCAGAATAGTACACAAGTTGACGCAAGGATGGGGATGAACATCAGGCCTGCTCTTGCTGGTTGGGAGACTCCACCAAATGGATGGATAAAACTCAATATTGATGGTGCATCAAGGGGTAACCCAGATACTGCCAGCCGTGGTGGTATATTTCGTAACCCTGAAGGGATGTGGATGGGAGGATTTACTTGTGGCTTAGGAGTTTGCACAGCAAAAGAGGCTGAATTCTGGAGTTTCTACCATGGGCTACAGGTGGCACGTTCTCTCAACCTCACCAGGATCATTGTAGAGCATAACTCCATCGCTATTGTTAAAGAGTTCCAAGTGGCTCTTGAAGGCATTGAAGCAAAGCACTGGCAAATGCGCCAAGCTGTCTGTCTTACTCGTGATTGGTGAGATTCAAGTTAGGCATGTTTTTAGAGAAGGAAATGTGTGTGCTGACTGGTTGGCTAAGTCAGCTTAGAATAATTGTAATAAGTGTAGTGTCCTTCTTGATCCTCCTAGAGGCATGACGAGTGGATGTATCAAGATTCTATGGGTCCTAATGGCCCTGTTTCTTTTGTTAGTTAAATAAATGCTTAGGCTTTTGCCCCTTTGCTTATGAAAAAAAAAAAGGACCCCAGTCACCCCTAGTCTATTTCAGGAGAAACAAATACACATACACACATATCATTCATTAAAAGAAAATAAAAGATATGCAAATATTCAAAAACTGCAATTGCAAAAAATTGTGAGCAATACATTTGAATTTTTAAGAAACGAGCATCAAACACTAATGAATAGTGATAAAACAGACCTCTGCATTAGGGAACACTGTTTCACCGCCTTCGGTCACATCAGAGAGATACATGAGAACAGTTGCAGTTCTATGTCCACCGCGAGCAATATTGACTTTATCAGCAAAGTAATCATAATGCGGTTCATATTTCTGCCCATGCTCATATCGCAATACTTGTATGTCTTCCCCATTTTCTGAAATTTAATATTCAAATATAATAAGTAAGATATTTTGGGAGAGAAGAGAATAATAGAATCTAGAAATGCAATTCATCATTAGGGTCAAGTAAGCACTTCTAAAGGAGTCATCTTAGAACATCCCTAATATAGTTTAACAACCAGAGTTTTACAAAGTCACAGGTTGCACTAATCATTTAGATAAACAATGAAAAATTCTTATTTTGTAATGTCAAGCCAAGTCAGGACATGCAACCTTTAGGTTTTAGCCAGAGAGCCTCAATATTTCTAGTTTGCAAAGCTGCCTGTCTGATAGGTTGGAAGAGAAAGATGGGGAAAGGAGAGGGAGATGGAAAGTGGTTTTAAAAAGAAAATTCGCTTGCAGACATCAAAGAACTAACTAAGAACTTGGTAACAGATACAGAATACAGAGTAATTACTGCCTTGTGTTTTCCTATTTACAAGCAAGCACAAAATTTGAATATTGACATCTTCCAAAAACACATTGTACATATATGGAATAGAGAGACATAGATATCAGTAATCAGTTCCACAGCACTCACAATGATACAATGCAGATTTTCAAGATGGACTAATTAAATGAGATTTTACTTTATATATGCTAAGAGGGGTAGAGGAAGGCGCCAAAGGAAACACTTATGGAAGTTGTTGACCTAGACCTCTTAGTTAACAACATTTCTAAAAGTTTGATAAATGATAAAGTACAATGGCGTCGTAAAATTCATGTAACCAACCCCACTTAATGAGATAAGGCTTGTTGTTATTGTTGTTGTTTACTTTGTATATGGCATACCTTTTGGAAGAAAGGTCCATGATGAAATCTTGTCCTCAATACCAGCAACAATAGGATCCTATAAAATAAAGATTAAAACATGTACATTCAATACACACAACATACTGTGTGTGTGTGTGTGTGTGTGTGTGAAGAAACAATATCCATTCCTGAAAAAGCAGAATAAGCAAGAACAGCGTGCATCTTATTAACGGCCCCTCTAAACACAAACTAATAATGATACAAACTTGAACCAGAATTTCTTCCAGGGTCCCCATCTACAAACGCCCTTTTCTACAGCATCTCTTCTAAAGCAGGACTAAAGCCAAGTCTAAATAACAATTTGCTATAGACATAATTTTCCCTTTAAATGCAAAATGAATCCTTTCTCGGACACGTATATGCTAGCAGAACGTAAAAGCAGTTTAAAGGTTTTAAAAGAAAGGGGACCAAAAGAAGGATGAACATACAATTTTAATAGAAAGGCATACGGACATCAAATACATATTCATTGTGCTAATAACCTCGCCCAGCCCAAGTAATAACGATTAAAGATAACACGTTTTAAATTCATAAAATGAACCCGCCTGCGTATTTTTAGGTTTTGGTCCATAATTATACTGAGTAAGGATAGGAAAATGATTATAGCTTGTGCATTGATCTTAAAGATGTGAACCCAAAAAGAAATTAACGAGTCCACTATTAAGGCGCGCGCACATGAGCAGACAAATCGGGAAAGACATCAAGGAGTAATAGTGAAACTGACCTTGCTCTTCGGAATAAACATCCCTGAGCTTGTTCGAACTTCACTTAGTGTGCTTTCTCCAGAGTCATTATCCGCTACTTCAGATCTCTTCAACTCTGATTTGGCCTAGTACAACGCAATGAACAGGCATCGCTTCATTAATTGAAGAAATCAAATCAAACCACGTCACAATCACATAAGCAAAGTTTGGATTTCTACCGATACTCACTAAAGAGATCAAGTGGTCGCATTCTAAGTCTGTGAGAAAACCTTCGTAAACGAAAGCTCTGCACAAATAGGAATCATTCATTTCACTTCCACTCAAAAGTAGAAAATACTGAAGTTAAAATGGAAATATTCAGAAAGATATAAAGATACATCGAGGCAAAGGAAACAACAACACCTTGGCTTCCAAGAAACCTGTTTGACTTTAGAAGGATCGATGATGGAACTAGCGGAGCCAGCGTAGGAGCTGGAGACTTCACGAGTGATCAAGAAGATTGAAATCAACAGGAGGAACAATGAAGACCCAAACCTAGACATCGAGTCCAGCTTCGATCCGCAAGGGGATTTTCCGGGAAATGATTTTCGCTTTTTGGAGTCGCCAAGCGGGAGGGATGGTTAGTTATCTCTTCGGCACCGATTGCATTACTACCATTACCAGAATCTGTTCCTTTGTTTCATGGATCTGATCCCAGCAAACGACACCGTTTTTGCGAAACATGGACATCGCGTGGAAGATTAGCCGTCCTGCACGTCCACGTTGACATTGTCTCTCCGCGTAATACAACTGTCATGTAAAAATTAGGACATTTGTTCAACCAAAAAAAAAAAAATTTACTCATTCAATTCTTACAAATTTAACTCAATTATAATTTAACATCTAAATTTTAATTCATTATAAATTAATTTTTATAATTTTAATTTGATTGTAACTTAATTTCTTTGACTCTTAAAATTCAATCCATGTAATTTTTTTAACTAATTAAAATATCAGTCTTATATTTTAAAAAATAAAATTATAAAGATTAAAATTATATTAAATTTTATTATTAATATTTTAAATTACTAAATTCATTTAATATTTATAAAGATTATAAAGATTAAAATTTTAAAATAATTTTTATTTTATAATTTTATTTTTAAAATATCAAAATTAACATTTTAAATGATTAAAGTTATAGGGATTAAGTTGTAAGAGTTAAAATTTAAACATTAAATTACAACTGAGTTAAAATTAAAAAGATTAAGTTATAATGAGTTCAGGTTTAGGATAGAGTTACAATTGAATAAAACTATAAAAATTAAATGATTAATTTTTTTTAATTTATCTTATAACTAACAATAATTTATTTTCACATACATACACATAGGGAAAATGGACTTTTTAGTTTCTTTCAATTTGAAAATTAGGCCCTATAATAGAAGTCGTTAAGATCTCGTGGTAAATTTATTCTGGTGTTAAACCGTGAAATACTGTGTGAAAAAAAAAAAAAAAGAATTTACGGTATGAAGTTTGTACTTTGTAGTTTTAAGATTAGTTCCTTTTTCTGTTGACGTGGCACTACGCGTGAAAAAGCAAGCTCCCCAATCCTGTTTGCTCTTTCTGGTCTTCACTCTTGCGTTGCAGCCTAATTAATCATAGCTATAATCTAGCTTCTTTTTTCCAGCTAAACTTTGAAGGAATGGCACCTACAATTAAAATGGTTTGGAATTTGGCTCTACTAATTACGCCAAACATATCTTGAAAAAATTCCAATATAGTTACAATGCCAATCACGCGTTTATAATTTAAAGGCGGACCCTTTTAACACCATGAAACTCGAAGGTCTTTTTTTTTATTATTATTATTCAAGGTATTCTCACTTCTGACAGCTGTTAGTTTAATCTATCAAAAAATTTAAAAATCATTTAAAGAGTTATTTTTTATAAGTAATATTTTTTACATACATTTTTAAGGAATTAAATCTTGAAATCTACTATCATATGTGTCAGACCCAATGTCAACCAATTGATATGGAACTTGCAAGTTGCAATCCACTGAGATGACACCAAAAACAAATGAACCCAACAAAGACTCGGTTGATTATTATAGTATTATCATGTACGAGCTGTATGCTCTAGCTTTCCCAAATCGTCTTTCCACGAGCAGTAAGTGGACGATATTTATTGTTTAATAACTTTAATTAATAGTCCACAATTAATCTAAAGAGCAGTCACTTAAGAGTAGATACTCAAACTAAATGAACTAATTCTAAAATTGAGAGAAATTATGGGTTTATAAGAATCGAAAGTTTCATTTTTTGTAAAAGATATATATACATACATAAATACATACATATATATTAATTAATTAACTAGACCTGTGTCAACTTTACTATTTATAATTATTAGTAAATAATACAACTTGTTGTAGGTTTTATTAAATATATTTAAAAATTTAAATCACACACACACACACAGACATATATATATTTCCAAAAAAGGCAATTTTAATTTTTATTTTCATTGAATTCCATGGAGCAAATGCCTCATGATGAAATCCATTAAGCCAAATTGTTTTCATCAGAATAGACTAGGGAATGACATCCCATGACAAAACAGCAACCTCTCGTGATAAAATGGCAACCATTCCCTCACATCAACCATGCCTTAAATAAAAAAGAAAAAGCAATGCTATTTCACGAAACTCTTATATTATTGCATAACTGATGAGGGAAAAGTTGTCGCAAAGCTAATATGAACTTAAGTTAATTTCTCCACATTCAATGGCCTCCTTATCGTCATACCCATAATGGTTATTGATCACATATATTCAATACGGACAAAAATGTTTACGAGGTTCTGCTCTGCCTCTTCGTCCTCCTTTTCTGTACAGACATCACCATATTCATTATTCAACCTATTATGGCGGACAGTGGAGTCACCTCATGCTCATTCTACTTCTAAAATGGCTGCCTCAGAACCAGTTTCTTGAATCAAAGCCCTTGCTATAGATGTGAATGTTGTTGTTGTTGCTGCTTTTCCTCATCATTAGAGTTACAGTTTCCTTGAAGAGTCTCCATATGTGGATCCTCAGCATTCAAAGTCTTGGCTGAGTCGTACTCCTCTGCGTCTAACAGTTCTTCAGAGCACGTCCTTTGAATTTTGGACTTCTGGCGTGCTTTCATGAGCTCCAAGCTGTCGTCTTCTCCTTTTAGAATCTTTATTGCCTGCATCATCCAGCATTGTTAAACAATTCATGCTCTATATCAGTTCATCACAGGTGTGTTTAAGTTTGAGAGTATCAGATTCTTCAAAAGCTCAGCAGGCTAGCTTGCTGCTATGCCTTGTTCATATTGTCTGAATCATGTTTTGAGTTGCATAGATGACTGCATTATGCTAGTGTGGCTAAGTAAGCAGTTTTAGTTTTGCTTCAATGTGGCATCACTTGTTCAGTAACTATATCTAGAACGATTTGAAAAAAAAAAAAAAAAACAAATTTAAGGTCGATCAGTTTCTGACATACCTGGCTCATGTTTGGTCGTTCAGCTGAAGATTGATCAACACACAGTGAAGCTACTAAGACTACAAGTTTCATTTGTTCTTCATCGTATGCACCATTCAGACATGGATCGACGAGCTCTTTAATGTTATTTGTAGATAGCAAAGGTTTTGCCTGGAAAATTATAGTCAAGGAGGCTGGAATGAAATTGACATTTTCAACTTCAACAAGCTCATCAGTAGAACATTATTGTTTGTGTTTTGAAAAATGGCAGACATACCCACATCACCAAACTTTTCTGTGACCTATCCAAAGCTTGTCGTCCAGTAATGAGCTCCAATAATAGCACTCCATAAGCATAGACATCAGTCTTTTCGTCTACCAAACCATACATGAAGAATTCTGGAGGGAGGTAGCTGTTGTAGCCGGTACAGTGATTGTTGGGAAAAGAAAGTGAAAGGGTTAAGGATTGACTAGGAATGAAAGGATTTTAAATAGAGATACTCAGAAAAGTTGTGAAACTGTTACACGTACAAACCCGAACGTGCCTTCAATTTTGGAGATTGTGTGGTGAGTCCATTGGTCGGGTAGCCACTTCGATAGCCCAAAATCAGATATCTGGTGTGATAAAGAGTCAAAAATTGTCCAAAGAAGAAACATTTAAATATAACAAATATAATTTAGTTCAGATTGTTGTGTTGGGCTTAACCATTGCTTCAAAGTCCTCTGAGAGCAAAATATTAGAAGACTTGATATCTCTGTGAATTATCCTTCTTTGGCATTCCTCATGCAGACAGCGAAGGCCATCAGCAGTCCCAAAAGCAATCTTACATCTAAAGCTCCAATCTAGTTTCTCTCGAGGTCCTGAAATCACTCAAGGAAATGAATTCTGCAGAAAAATGATGTGGTTTTTGAAGTTCAGAATTTTCAAAAAAGGGTTAACAAACCATAAGTATGGATGCTAAGCTGCCATGTGGAGACAACTGAAGAACAAGAAACATTCCTCCTTCAACACCGTATCCAATCAATCTGGCAATATTGGGATGGTTCACGTGCACTATAATTCCAAGCTCAGACAAGAAATCTGCAGTCATTTCTTCTAGAGTTCCTCTTGTGAGCTGCTTGATTGCAACAAACTGCCCATCTTCCATTTTGCCTTTGTAAACCACAGCATAACCTCCTTGACCAATCACTTTTTCTTGAAAAGGAAGCAAACAGAAGCAGTTTATCATTGTCAAGTTTTTCTCTGGATCCAACCGGTGTTCGCAAAAAGTAAAATAATAGTGTTAAGAAAAAGAACACATACCATGGCTAAAGTTGTTTGTCGCAGCCACAATCTCTGCATAAGAGAAATTTTTCCATGAAGCTTTAAAGCAGAACAATTCAGTGTCCAAAATTGTCTTGAGAGCTGGATTATTTAGTGGTGAATTTAGAGGTGGGACCTGGTTCTCCCTGTATCTCTTACTATTTCTTCTGGTGAGTTTTGGAACACTGTTGACTGAAAGAATGGGTTGGAAACGCATTTTGGGTCCTTTCTTCAACAAACGAAAGAAACCATGCCGCTGCGCATTGTTTGACTGACTCTCTGAATCAAAGGTCTTAGAAGGAGGGGGAATTGGGTTCTAAACTGCTTGAGCATTCCTCAAGTTCACCTCTAGACGAACACTCGGATGTTCGTTGCTCCAGAGAGTCTAATATGGCATGCATTCCAGCATTAGTACAGTGAACAACGATCTCAATTCAGTATCATTCACGATGATTAGAGCAAAGAAGAATGATAACCTACCATTACTCGATATGGAATCAGAAGACCCAGTCCTCAGTCTGCAAGCACTTGTTGGAGGAACCTGCCTTTGATTTTCTTCCTCGTTCACATTACCCATGCTTTGGAAACCATTTCTGCCAATATGATCTTATTTTCCAGCAAAGAACAAAGAATATGACAAGATGCACTGTGATGCAAATGAACAAAAACATTGCAAAAAAACTGCAATCTCAGGCCATCAATTGCCGTTAATCAGAGAAAACATGAAAATGAGGCATAGGCAAAATTGTCCTGGACACATGTTGTTTGAAGGAACCAAAGAGGAAGCAACCAATTACCCAGAAAGCTAGTTTGTAAGCTTGAAAATTAAAAACCTCGAATAGATAAGTTGGTAAGAACAGAAAATTTAAGTAGTGTTCATTCTGACATTGATACAGAAAATGAGTCTTAAGATCACCCTACAACAAACTAAAAAAATCCAGGGTTTCGCGATCATCGGAACTACGAGGTCGTGAAGCATTTGATCGAATCAGAATTTCAGGAGAACAGAACAGCGATTGATGAATACAAACAACAATATATGAATGCAGAGAAATTAAAGAAAGCTTACGTAGAGAAAAAGTGGGGTTCACGTTCACAGTTCATGGCCTCGATAGGTGAGGCCGAATCCAAAAGGGAATTTAAAAAATGAGAAGGGGATTGAGCCACAGCAAGAAGAGATACGCAAAGGAATTAGCGGCTGGGAAGATTTTTCTGAGGCGCCACATTGGGATGATTATTTTTAATAATCAAATCCACCGAATTATGAGGCTGAAAACAGGGGTTTTTATTAGTCATCTCTGTTTGAAAACATGATTATGAATTAGAGCGAGGCATAGTTGTAGGAAAAGCAGATTCATGAGAATATAGCAATTGAAATGTTAGTAATGACAGACATTTTACGAAAATTAGGATTGTTACTTGAAGAAAATGGACTTCAGGAGAAGCTGAGTGAGTTGTTTCAGTCATGGGAGGTTGGTTTGTTACAGTGCTTCATCCAGAAGTTGATGGTCACACGCTGAAATCACACCAGGACCCAACCAAAAAAATAAAAACTAGCCTTCTTTAGTCTGAACCGGTGAATATTTATTACCTACTGCATGTTGATTCGACGCTTCAAACCAGTGATGAATCGAGACCTCGACTTTAAAAAAAAAAAAAAATTGATAGAGAGAGAGAGTGTGTTCTCTCAATTCTCAAATAATCCAATTCAGCATAGCCACAGAGTACAGAAACTAAGTTAAAAATAAGGAAAAACATCAGTTAAGGACCTTTAAAAATATTAATCTCAATTAAAAATTATAATATTTTAAAATTTTAATTAAAGATTATGATCTTTAATTAGAATAAAAAAATATAGTTTGTGAATTGAGATTTACTAACGTCACTTAAAGATTTACTAATTCAATTTAAAAAAATTGCTAATGTATATTATGAAAACATAAAATTTCACTTAAGAATCGATTGTTTAACAAAAAACACCACTTAAAAATTCACTAAATTGACTTGAAAGAATTTTTAATATACATTGTGAAAATATAAAACCTTACTTAGAAATCAATTGTTTAACACAAAACCCCAATTTGGACAAGTAGAGCTTCATTTTTTTCAGAGTATATGTTAGATATTTATGCAAGGCCAAGATACTTGTGCAATTAAAGAGTGAGTATATTTAGAAATGATGGCAATTTAGATGTGAAATTACATGTTTTAGCTCCCTCTTATATTTTTATAATTAAGGAGTTGAGCAATAAAAATGTGATATAGATAATGTTTGAATATTGTGATGTATTGCATGAGTTTGTTACAATCCATTGAGTGTAGTCTAAGGGTTGATGTGGGTTTTTAGCACTTGGATTGAGTTTTAAACAACCTAATTTTGTTTTGAAAGCATAAAAGTGTGAGTTTGCTTTTTAGTATATAACTTTTAATTGAGAAATGATTAAAATGTGAAACCATTGCCATTAATTATAGTTTGAAAAAAACTTTCTGTAAACACCTAGATTATCTCAATCGAATATTGAACAGAGATTTGGTGCAGGTTGAAAATTCGGCCAGAAAATTGTCCATTTTGCTATCATGGGTTCTACAGTTCATACTGCAGCATAATTGAGCCAAAATCAATTTTTACTATTTTGACCTTAATTTGATGTTGTATTACTTTGTATGTTATTCATGCTTCCGTATACATGTTTTGCTTTGATTTTGATTTTCTTTAAATGCTTTTATAGAATTTAAAGTTTTGAAAACTTAAAATTACATTTATATAAATTTTACCAACTTGATAATTCATTTGAGTTATTCTCATAATTATTTCAAATTTGAAGTTAATTGTGAATTAATAAAGGAGACCTTACATGAACTCTCACCTTCTCACAATGTTTATGTTTATATAGTACAATTCAACATAGTCTCATGCATGCATTGATTATCCCAATTCATTTACTAATATAATGAATCATACAATTTTGCAAGTACATATACTTATGATTTTAGCATAAAACTCTTTCAAACTTGTATATATATATATATATATATATTACAAATACATTTCACTTCACATAATAACATAATATTTCAAAATTCCAATCAAACATTCATACTAATATTATGCTAGTTCAAAACAATAATATATACATACAGTGATGGATCTAGAAAAATTTAGTAATGGGGGCAATATTCATACTAAATATAAATATTAATATTTTTTTAAAAAATATAATTTTAAATAATAATTAAAGTAATATATAAATAAATTATATGAAAAGTTTAACAATATATTTTAATTTCATTTACATCATAAATTTATTTTTATCATAAATAAAAAGATAAAAAATATTTTTAAATATATGTGCTTGATAGTTTTAAAGAGAATGTGGGGCAATTGATTTTTTTTGAGAGCCAATTGCAATTTTAAAGAGGGCACAAGTGTAATTTAAATAAAAAAGTAAGTGTAATTTTTACAAATTTTATAGGGACAATTGCCCCCTCTTTTCCCAATGTGGATACATCCCTGTATATATATTGTATTATATTATATTATTCACAAATCTCATAACCATTAAAACACACAAGTAAAAAGATTAAATTATTCAATTAATTCAATCCTTTGTCACAAAAAAATTACTCTAGCAAGTTAGTTACTCCACAAGGATGTACTAGCTTAATGGGGCTCAATTAATATTTAATTTACAAGATTAAATATTAATTATCAATTATAACTCTAATTAGACCTCCCTTTTAGCCTAATTTTGGGTGTTCACTATACTCAAATTTTCTCTTAAATAAAATTAATATTTCTAACACACTCCAATAATTTCATTTAACACCTAAACACTTATATAATATCAATTCTTTACCTGCATTACTCTCAATCTTTTAATTTTCACTTAGGGATCGTCAAAACCTTAACAAAAATTTTAAATCATTACAAAATTCTCAAACCTAAGTTTGAAAACTTGATTTAACTCCCTGATACCCTAAAGTTTGAAAACTTGATTTAACTCCTTAATACCCTAACTAAGGTAATAAGTTTGGTCTAAATCTAAGAGAAAACCAAAATCAACACCCATTCTACTCCAAATCAAAAGAAATTTGCATAGGGAAGAAGTAGGACGAATAGAAAGCTTACCTAAGTATTAAATTAGTGTAGATTGCCTCTAATGTAGTCCAAAAGTGAAGTCTTAGCTATCTAAGAGCTTTCCCTCATTGCTACTCTCATTTTCTCTTTTCTTCCTATTTAAGATCAAACACAGCTCGTGTTTAATTTAACATATGCACATGGTACAACAAACTTATATGCCATTTTAGCCACCTTTACAAGCCCAATTGACCTAAACTTCATCATAGCTCATTTTTAAAGTTGTCCAAAGTCCAATAACCTTATTCATTAATCTAAAAACATCATTAACTCCTTAATCACCCAATTTTACTAATTTACCTCTTTTAAATACTAAAAATTCAAAGTTTTAAATTGAAGATGTTACATTATTATTTTGTTTTAAGGGAGTTCTCAAGTTGATAAATTGTTCAGATATATTATCACCATGTAAGGAGGATCTGGGTATTATTATTATGGCTGACAAAGACCAGTTCAAGATGTTTTGTTCTTTCCTAGTTTTTGCCCATACCATCTCTTAAGATTTGAAGAAAGTGTCTGGGATGTTTTACAGTCATAGAAGAATTATATCCAGACTTTTATTACTATGATATATTAGCAACTTTTCTTTGTCTCTAAATTTCCACAACACCATAATCTTACCTAAAAAAACTCATAAAATTGGAGGATATACAGATCACATATTTACCAATGAACATTTACAAACACTCTATTATATATGGAAGCATTAAACAAATCATGGAGAGGCTTCTTTTCAAGATTTCTTTTGTAGATTTTTCATGCAAATGTTGATCAAACATGCAAGGGTCCACCCTTAAATAACACTGAGCCAACTCAGGTGAAGTGTTTTGTCATGTTTAAAGTTAATTTAGATCATTAGATGAAAATAAAAATTAATTTAGTTGATTTGAAGTAGTTTTAATCGAAAGGTTATTTTTTGTTGTATTTTGGTAAATTTACAAAAGTAGAAGATATTAAAATATGCAGTATGAAATCTCTATCCACCGCCATCTACAGGGGAGAAACCTTATTCAAATTCCAATTTTTTTTAAAAAAATAATAATAAAATCTCACCAAATATATAAATAACAATTAAGTTCCTTAAAATGTTATAATTTTTTTAAAGTATTTAGTTACTTTTCTGACATTAATAATTTTAAATTAAATAATTAAGTTGCCCCTTGTTTATCATAAAAATAATCAGTCTAGTTCAATTTTTTCAATCACAAATTTTGTTGAAGTGATCACAACTTTTGCTCTATGAATTGTAAAAATTAAACAAAAAATCATACCTTCACATGTGAAATTTTTTTAATGATTGATAAAGAAGTTTTGAAAATAATTAATCCCCATAATCACTTTTATTTAATCAATCACAACTTTAATGTCATGAATTGTAAAAATTGAAGAAGAAATAACAATTTCTCACATAATTTTTTATTATTATTGAAGTTGAAGTTTTAAAACTAACCAATCATAACTTTTATTTTATAAATTATAAAAATTAAATAAAAAATTACAACTTCTCACATAAATCTATTATTATTTTTATTTTAAATAAAGAATAATTTAATCATCTAACTTAAAATTATTAACGTCAAAAAATTATTTAAAAACTTTAAAGGAATTATACCTTGTTAAAAGATTTGATTGTTATTTATAAATTTTGATAAAATTTTATTTTCATTTTTTTTTATTTTTTTATTTGAAGGTGTCTTAGTGTTACTAGGTCAATAAGTCATTAATTGACAAATCAATAATATAGTTAGTTCAACCTAAATGATTCCTTATTTAACTCTCCTAGATAAGATATTGAATTCAAGAATCATAAGTAAAAGCTAACTGCATTAAAAATATAGATTTTTTATTTTTACTAATGATTAACATGAATCTAATTTAATCATTTAGCTAATAGTCAGTTATCTATTTTATGTAGGCCATTGGGTGGTGGCTGGTGAAGCTTATCCGATAGAAGATTATAGCTTTTATTCTTAAAAAAACAAAATAGTTTGAAAGATTCTTGTCCAAAGAATCAATCTTGTCATTTAAGATCAAATCATTAAAGAACAATATTATATATTGTATGGCCAGCTTCATTCCACCACCTCTTAAAAGAGTGAGATTACATTTGATTTTATGGAATATTAAAATAAGTAACTATTAAATAATGTTGGTGAAGCATCATGACCAACATTCTAATTAACATGTCTTTATAAATAACGCAGGATATGGTCTTTACATAATTATTAGATGATAAATAATACGCACTTAACATTCTAATTAAATCGATGCTTCAATCCCATAGCATTTATGGATATGGTCCATTCATTTGTAATTTAAAAAAAAATTGTTGTAATGAGATTTACTCATAGGCAAAAATATACATTTTCTATATAAGTTCATTAAATATGTTTTATATACTCTCTCCATTCAAAAATATAAAATATTTTTTAAATAATTGGATGTCCAAAAATATAAAATATTTTTAGTTTTTTAAGATATAATTATTGTTTTTTTTCAAAAGTACCTCTATTAATAATAACTTTTTATTTATTATAGGGTATTTAATAGAGATAAATATAAAAGATAGAATTAGTTTGAAAGTGAGTAACTACTTTATTGGGGTGAGATTTGATTATAAATGTCTGATATCTTTTAATGGAGGGAGTATAATTTAGCTATTTATATTTGTATATAGATTCCACTTTTGTTTTTGAAAATAATTTTTCTTCAATGTCATCTTACTATTTTTGTATTTTCATTTTATTTTTATCTTAATTTTAACCATTATTTGAGTATTTATCGAATTTAGTTTTACAATAAACATAAAACTCAAAAGTATGTGGATTATTTTAATATGATGAAAATAATTGAAATAAATAAACTAAATTATACAACGGTAATGCATCTCTTAAAAAAAAAAAGCATTTTTCTTATTCACATCCTCCACATTTACAAACACAAAGGATATATATAAAAAATGAAATGCAAATTCAATAGATATTAAGTTCAACTGCAATTTTTTCTCAGGCATTCTTTTTATTTTCCGCCACATAATTTGTCCAAAATAAAAAGGCCAATTTTTTCCCCCTTTTTGAAGGTATAGTCCAAAATTTTTTTCGTTCAGCTGCACAAAATTGATTAGAAGAAGAAATAATTAAATTCTGGAGAAAAAAATAGCTCAAGAGCTCGTTCAAATTTTAATTCAATATAATTGATTATAAAAAATAATTGATTAATTTTAATTATAATTAATTATGTTATAATATAATATATTTAGATACTATTTTTTTTAAATTGATTTGAATAGAATTAAAGATATTAGAATAATTTAGTCAGAATCAATTTTAACTATGCAAATTAACATAAAAGATACTGCTTTTTAAAATTAAATTATTGATAAATTTTTATCTAATATTGTTAAATTTTGTTTAACAAAAAAATAAATTATTAACAAATTATTTATTATTAATATGATAAAATGAGAATAAAATAAACAGGCACAGATAGCTTAATAAAAAAATAAACTGTAACCTCATCGATTATTTCACGTGTATGCTATTTGGGTAATTTTCTTTTAAAAATCGATTTTCTCCCAAAAATTCAATTTCAGAGACAAACCAAACAGGCGGTCATAATTGAAATTGAGTGGCTTCATTGGACCCCACACAAAATAATTTAGACGAGTGCCCCGCCGAAGTTTGACACCTTAACCTCATATGACGCCGTTATCTTGGCCAGCGGAAGTTCAAACTGTGAAATAATTTTAATGCTCATAATTAAAAATAATTTAAAGTAAAGTAATTCATAAGTTATAAAACAAAAGTTGCATTGATTAAACTAAGCTTTCTAATTCTTATTAAGATATTTTGTGCACAAGCGTGTCTCCAAAAACATTACATTTGATAAAAGAATACCTATACATAGTAAAAAAATTATTCAAGGAAGGATTATTGTTTAATTATGTTGGTAAAAAAAGGGATTATTTTTTAATTATATATTTATATGAATTCATTGTAAGTCCAAGTCCCAGTTCATATTTTCTGGTGAAAACAACAGTTTACTTTATACAAATAAGAATAGATCTTTTTATAGGTTATTTTAAATGGACAAATTTTGCTGGCTAGCCTAATATATTACTCCCTTTATTTAAAAATATAAGATATTTTTAACTGAATCTTACTTTCAATAAAGTAGTTACCTACTTTCAAACTAATCCTATTTTTGTATATTTATTCCTATCAAACACCTTACACTAAATATAAAGTCATGATCAATAGGGGTACTTTTAAAAAAAAGTAATGATTACACCTCAAAAGATGAAAAATGTCTTACATTTTTGAACGGAGTGTATCAATTATCTTTTTTTTTTTAGTATTATGACAATGATATGTAATAATCGTCTTGAAATTCTATTCCATTCCTAGCTATTATTTTATTCGATGATTTGAATATTTGTAATAACCAAGGGATCTATTGTTAATTAGTAAACCTTGCATAAGATTTACTAATTAAAAATATTGTTAAAAATGCAATATTACTATTCAAAAACTAGCTAATAGGGCAATCAGTCCCTAAAAATACGAATTTTTTTACGTTTTCAGACACTAATTATTTTGTTAGATCACATAAGTAATTTTTTTCAGATTAGATCAATTTCATTCGACTATTAATTACAAACATGTCAGGATGAAGTTGAGAAAACATGTTAGCTAAATTAAAATTTTAGCAATTTTTTATTACAAAGATACATGACAATGCAAAGTTTCAAGTTTCTTAGTGGGTGTTTGGATTTCCCATAGAACTATAAATGATTATTTTGACTAAAACTATATATGGTTTGGGTTAAAAAATTCCCGAACACTTTCATTTGTTCTTGATCAATTTTCTAAGCTGTAACCACGCTCTAGTTGAGGCAAGCAGGGATTCACTTTCACAATTACTGGCATTTATTAGGGGTTAGCGTGCTGACATAACAAATTTACCTATATAATTATATATTAAAATAACAATATTGTTAAAAATGCAAGGTTTACTAATTAACAATATTAGTAATATGTGTGTCATTTTTATTTTAGTTTTAAATGATCATCTTTTTATAAATCATTGTTATTTTAAAAAAAGTAAATTTAATATATCAATATTTTGTTAACATTTAGATGTTCAATATAAAAAAATTGAGATGAAGAATTTATTTTTTTTAAAAAATAATTTATAAAATTAAAAGATTAAAATAAAATATTATACACAATTAAATAAAATATTTATCAATAAAATTATCAAATCGATGATATGCTTGAACCCATAATTTTATAGGTTTTATAGGTTGTTTTTTGGCTCAAGGTTTTAAAAGTTATACGTGTGAAATAATGTCTTGCTTTCTTGTATTTTTTATTTTTTTTATAACTTTTACGTAGCTATTCATTCAATCTTTTTAATATAAAAATATTTTAAATACAAGTATAATCCTTTAAAAGGAATAAAAATACTCTCTCCATTTAAAAATATAAAATATTTTTAATCAAATCTCATTCCCTAATAAAATAATTATTTATTTTTAAACTAATTATATCTTTTTATATTTATCTCTATTAAACATTTTATAATAAATATAAAGTTAACATTAATAGAGATATTTAAAAAAAAAAGTAATGATTACATCTCAAAAAATTAAAAATATTTTATAATTTAAAATATTTAATTTTTTAAAAATTATTTTATATTTTTAGATAGAGAGAATATTATTTATCACATTATAAAGCTTCTTTTAAACTTTTGGGAGAACGACAGTGTCTTCTTTTAAACTTTTGGGAGAACGACAGTGTGCTATCAGAAGAGGAAAAAAAATGATGAAGATTCTAAAGAATTAAAATTTTTTTTTACCTAAATAAAAATTGATTGATTGATTGATTTGTATATAGATAAATCCTCGGTTGTTTTATTGTTTAGGCCTTCTTCCGCCAAAATTCATGCTTCATGGTGAAAACTCATCCCTTGTAGTTTTTTCTCTTATAGACATTGTAAACAAATTAATAACTCAAAAATAATAATAATAACAAAAAAAGCCCAAGCAACGCCTTCCGTTACGACAAACGTGACGTCGACGGGCCCCACACCACAGCCGCCAAAACTGAACCAACCAAAGACTTGGTCAGGTCAGCCAAGAGCCACCTGTGCCTTTATTACAGTACACGATGTGGCTTTCGCCTTCGCCGTGTTCTAGCAAGCACTAACTCTCTTCACGCGTCAAACAACGACGTACGTTGAACGCGCCCAGACCTTCATGATTCATTCAACCCCTCTTCCTCTTTCCTCATCTCTAGCGCTATATATCTCTCCCCTCTTTACACGACCCATGCCACAAACACAGGTTAGCGTCAACCAGCTGAACGGTGAGAGAGAGATCTCTCGTCAAATTCAACCTCCTCCTCCTTCCTTCCATTTCCAGAAGGAAGAAGACGAGGTACACGGAAGAACAAAGAAAGAAAGAAAGAAAGAAGGTAGAAGAGCGACTGTCCATGAGGGTTTCATCTTTCTCTCTGTTCATATTTCATTGCCGAGTTTAAGTTCTTGCCATAATTTCAATCTCTCCCTCTCTGCTTCGCTCGTTCTCTCTATAGATTCTCTTGCAAATTTTTGAGAGTTACGGTTATTAACCATGGGAACGGAAGTTTTACGGCCTCAGGATTGTTTGATTGAGAGGATCAGACGGCCTCCGGTTTCGATTTACCGACAGAGTTATGGAAATTGCTGTAATCATAATAAAAATTATGTACCAAGCTCTAGATCTAGTCGAAAACCGGCGAAACGACCTGAGAGTTCAGGTAAAAGGAGACGAGTTGTTGTTCCGAGCCAACCGATTCCGGTGACGTCGGTCTCGAGGAGATCTAGCTCCGATGATTTGAGAATGGCGAGGAGCAGCGGGATGATGAGGGAGAAGGTCACGATTCTTCGAAGAGGCGAGTCGCTTGATTCGAAAATCATGTGCGAGGCCTTAACGAAGAAGGGTGGTGACGATTTCATGACTTGCCCCGTTCAAGCCATTTACGCCGGATCGGCGTTCGTGGTATCTCCGTTGCCGAGCGCGCTTCCTCTGCCTTCTTTTTCAAAGAAACAACCGTCTGCAGTAGTCGCCGACTCTGCAACGCGAGATCTTCGGCGTCTGCTCAAACTCGAATGACATGTCGGTTTGTTGAAATTAGGGTTTGGATTGGGTCGAGCTGGAAGGGATCTATTTCACACTTCCTTAATCCATTCGTTTTCACCTTAGAATCTTCTTCATGAATCAAACTTCTCCTTGTCCTTGCGTCGATGTTATTGCGTCCCTCCCGACGTGAAGTTCGACCTTACCGTGATTTTTTAAAACGGAAGGGTAGAACTGAAATCGGGGGTACAAAATTGGTGCAAACAGGTGAAAATAAAGTTTGTCATAGACTCGTAGAGTCGTAGGTGTATCATTGTTATGTGGGGTTGTTAATTGTATTTGTAATTGTAATTAGCTTGTAATCTGAGGTGAGAATGGTTAAAATGAAAGAAGTGAGGAAATGGGAGGTTGATTTGGAGAATCGGCAAAGCGCTTGGGCTGGATTAGGTGGACCTTGAATAATTTTTTTTAGCATTGTTTTTGACTTTAAGAAGGACCGAGTGCCTTTTATCTTTGGTGTAGTGGAGTAAAATCTTTAAATCAGGTATCTGGGCTTACTGTGTAATGTTAAACAAGATGCAATTTTAATTGTCTTGATTTCATCAAAGTCATTCATGTGAGGAGTAAGTTAATTGAGTCCAGTTCAGGCTGCTTTGTCCATGCCTAGGGCAATCTAATCATGTGTGGTGATAATGATTGAATCAGTTATATCAGGCATCCTGATGCGAGGGCTGCATTGTGCTGTGCCCTAGGCTTAAGGTTGTAATTCAAATCCCATGAGCTTCAAAGAGCAAGGTACCTATGCCAACATGCTCACAAATTGTAGACCACAAAATTGTCCCCTTTTTTGGAATGAAAATATTATGAACAAATGACACAAAAGACTAGTTCAAGTGACTGTCAAGGGAATCAGCTATATTGCTGTACGAAATCTCTTGCATAGAAATGAGCTATAATGGCAAAATCTCTCTCAATGGAGTGATTATAACTGTATAGGTCAGATGACCAAAATCTCCGTTGGTTTCCTCGCAGACATGATCAAATCCTTCCATCTTAAATGTCCTCGATGGTCTTTTTGGGTACAAAGGAAAGCTATGTTCTTTGAACATCAGGAATTTCACAAGAGCCAACACAGATGACATGAGTAAAGAAGCTCTGCTATATTGGTATGGTAGTTTTCTCGTCCTATTTCCTCTCCCTTCATTTTTCCTATTTCAAAGCAAGCCAGTGCTAGGACTTACCCTGCTTCCACCTCCCACCCAAAAAGAGTGGAAAAAGAATGGGATTGAGGATTTGATATATTTGAAGTAAGGCCTCCAGTTCAAATGTGGATAAAATAATTATATATTAGGCTAAAGTTTCGCATATAACAAATGATCTGTTTAAGAGCTGGAGGATCAAAGAGGATGAGTAGAATATGGACTCACACTTCGTGGGGTTGTGGCATTATCCTCAAGCATGTTCAAATTGGTGAGAACATTGCAGATCCACCAAAATGCGGTTCTCTCTTTCTTTCTTTCTTTCTTTCTTTTGGGCCAACCATAATGCGCTTGAGACACAGAAAATAAAAAAGCTATCAATCCTGATCGTACTGCCGTATGATAAAGCCATTCAAGCAATTATTTGATAGTGCCATTGTATTGCATACGATTTGGCAATGAATTTGCTGCCTTTTTCCCCCCTACTGTTTTCATCCAGATGATCCATTCAGATGAAGGATTGACCAGAGATGCAAAGGGAAGAGGGAGGGATAAATGATTACCATGTGAGATATCTTCTCGATAAGAGCATACATAATTAAAGAAATTATTGCATAAATCTAGTGCACCTCATCATCCGTGCTCTATCAAATAGAAATATGTAATATTACACCAATTCAATCAAATAAAATATAAGAGAAAACACAATCATTAATTCCTATAGTTTCATTATATTTTACTTTTAGTCTTTATAATTTTTTTTAATGTTATCAGTCTACAGTTTTGAAAAATTTGAATGATTTTTGTTTTTCAACCCCTATAATTTTAGTTTTTCAGTATTTTTAATTTCTATAAGGACTGAAAACACTAGAAAAAAACTATAAAAATTAAAAATAAAACATGATGAAACTATAGACACTAATAATTGTGTTTTCCTGAAATATAATGTGTCATTATTTTAATGGTTTTATTTTTGGAATAGTGTACTTCTTTAATTTCTTATCTTTTCTTTCTCAACCATCATTAAAAAAACAAGTGATTACTAAAGACTCTTGTTAAATTCATCAAATCTTGAGGTCTGGTTTTAAGGAAGGGTAGGATAATGGGTATGTTTAGACAAAGGTTTTCACATTTTGACATGCTATGTCAGGCTGTGTAAAACCTTGGTAGTTTTGTACAACCTAGTCCAATCCAAAAAAAAAAAAAAAATCTATTCAATCTAGTTTGGAAGAAAATTGACCTGATGGACAAAAAAGACCAATTAGATTAGACTTCATCTTTGGGTTAGATTAAATAGAAAAGTATAATATCAAACCACTTGTTTTGGTTTGGCTTGCTAAATTTTAATATAAAGTATACTTCCTCAGTTTAAAAATGTAAGGTATTTTTAACTAAATCTTATTCCTAATAAAGTAGTTACTTATTTTTCAATTAACCCTTTTTTCATATTTATCTTTATTAAACACCCTATAATAAATAAAAAGTTATTATTAATATGGGCATTTTTGAAAAAGAGGCAATGAATAACACCTTTAAAGATTAAAAATGCCTTACATTCTTTAACATCCAACTTTTAAAAAATGACTTACATTTTTAAACAGAGGGAGTACTTATTTTTAATATTTTGAATATGAAGCCTGATATTGCTATATGAATGCTAATATTATTTAGATATTTATTGCGCTAATCCAAAAATTTATTTGAGATCCAGCCCAAATTTTATCTAGGAAACACAAATTTGAGTATATCTTTTTACTTTTAAAATAAAAATTGAACTAATTTAAACTAATTTCCATGTTATTCAAATACTCCCTCTGTTAAAAAATGTAAGGTATTTTTAATTAAATCTTACTCCTAATAAAATAATTATCTACTTTTAAATTAATCATATTTTTCATATTCACCCTTATCAAACATTCTATAATAAATATAAAGTCATTATTAATGGGGCACTTTTGAAAAAAAAAGGCAATAATTATATCTCAAAAGACTTAATGCCTTACATTTTTGAAGATCTAACTTTTCAAAAAATATCTTACATTTTTTAATAGATGGAGTAAGTTTTAGCTTATTTAATTTAATTTTTGAAAAAAAATATTTAAATATAAATGATCTTTTCAAACGAACTTTTTAATAAATTCACTTTTGGCATATGAATTTTTGACCAGCTAAAAACAATTACCCACGTACGTTGCTTGCTATAACTACATGAGTGGCATTATTCATCATGATATATTTTATATTTCATATTGCTGTCCACTTGTTTCTACATGCAGAGCTCTTTCAATTTTTTTCCTATTTCTTATTGCTATATTACATGAATGCAGTTTTTAAAAAACTGAATTAAGATAATAATTAGTTCTTTTTGGATGTATAAAAAAAGATACTCCCTCCGTTCAAAAATATAAGACATTTTTTGAAGAGTTGAATGTTAAAAAATGTAAGCATTTTTAATCTTTAAGGGTGTAATCATTGTCTTTTTTTTAAAAGTACTTTTATTGATAATAACTTTATATTTATTGTAAGGTGTTTAATAGGGATAAGTATGAAAAGATAGAGTTAGTTGGAAAGTAGGTAATTACTTTATTGGGGATGATATTTAATTAAAAATACCTTATATTTTTTAACAGAGGGAATAATAATTAGTTGTGATTTAATATATAGTTTGATTATAGTGAAATTACGAAATTCTTTTTAACTGTATATATCAGTAAGAATTAAAATTAAAAACTATAAAAAATTTACGTATTTTTATATAATAAAAAAGTTGATCAAAGTTTGATAAACATAAACTCTGTTTTTCCTCCAGTTTAGATTGAGAAGAAAATAAAAAGCATACTTTTTACCAATTTAGTGCAAATCAACCGTTTTTCATTTAATTTTTCATTCATTATATTTTGACAGAGATTACTTTTATAAAATTTGAAATTTGGCTTGACTGAAATTATATCCAGTCTTCACTAGTTTGATCTTAACCGGCCAATTTGATAATATTTTTTTTCATTATTGCAATGATGGCTTATGCTTCAAATTTCTTTCAAGAAATGACAAAACGTAATTAAAAAAAAAAATACGACAAGGCTATTTTAGTTAAGTTGACGAATTAAATAAAACAAGTCATCTATCAATTATAGAAAAATACCGAATTTCCGTCCAAAAAAGAATTGAACAGTGCCAAAAAAAAGAAAAGAAAAGAAAAGTGAAGCTAAAGAATATTCTTAACTACCAAAACGAATTTTGTTTATTACAACATTAAAGTATCCGATTTCCAATCACAAGAGTTTCCTTCCTTCCCCGAGTGGAATGATTTTATATTTTGAAGAATCGTGGATTCAATTTCTTGATGAAGCGAAATTGAAATTAAAAAATATATATAAAGAAACTTGTCTTTAAAAGCAAAAAGTCTTAAGTATTTGGGAGAATAAAAAATATCAGTGTTAAATTGTCCTCAAATAGTTTCTAATAAATTATATATATAATCACTATCAAATGAACATCATTTAACGATTTACTGGTGATATAGGGTCTATTATTCTTTTCTTATGTTGGTAATACTTGCACTCACCTTTCTGATTGGATGCTAATTATTTTAGATTATCATAATTACATTTAATTAAGAATTAGAAGATGAATTAGACTTCCAATATTATCATTTTGGGACATATCTTATTATTTGCACGGCTCTATGGAAGTACACTTCAAATTGCTCATAACATTAAATTAAATTATATATAATGCAACATATCCTAAGCACGCAAGAGTATGACACAGTTTAATTTGCTCTTTTTTTTTTTAAAAAAAAAAGCTTCCTAATTAATTAAATTCAAACTGTATATATCAGGTTATGCTGATTTTTTTTTTTAAAAAAATCACAGCACATTGTTTATAAAAGCGAGAAAATTACATATAGATCCCAAATAAAGAAGCTAATTAATTAGTAATTACATACATATTTCGTCTTGTTGTCAATATTAAAATTTAATATGTAAATAAAAGTTTGACTTGTAAATAAATTAAAGAAATAATTAATTTTCTTATTTAAAACTTGATTGTAATTTCTCTCTAAAAATTAGATTAGTTGGTAAAAAGTAATGTATTTTTAGTTGAAAAGAAGAAGGAATTTATGAAAGACTTATTGATATATATATATATATATATTGTTGAATTTAATAAGGGAAAAAGGGAAAATGTAAAATTTTTTGTCAACTTATATAATATATATATATATATATCATGTTTTATAATTGAAGAACGTGATATTAAAATTATAGAAAAACATAAGTCTGATCCAAAATTTATTTTAAAACGTTGAGAAATGTTTTATGCTAATTAAACTCTATCAATACATTTTAGAACACAAACTTATATTGACCGTTAATTTGGCTAAAAAAATTGACATGATCATAGA